GATCATGACAAATCACCATACCAAGTTTGAAGTTCCTAGGCCTTAAGGTTCTTTAGTTATTATCGGAAACCGTTTTTGCTTACAAGCAGTCAATGTGACTTGACCTTTGACCCTTGCCCCAAAAATCAATAGGGGTCATCATTACTGATCATGACAAATCACCATACCAAGTTTCGAAGTTCCTAGGCCTTAAGGTTCTTTAGTTATATCGGAAACCGTTTTTGCTTACAAGGTCAATGTGACCTTGACCTTTGGACCCCTTGACCCAAATCAATAGGGGTCATCTACTTGTCATGACCAATCACCATACCAAGTTTGAAGTTCCTAGGCCTAAGGGTTCTTTAGTTATCACTCGGAAACCATTTGGTCTACGGACCGACGGACCGACGGACCGACAAGTGCAAAGCAATATACCCCCTTTTTTTCAAAAGGGGGCATAATTATGGAAAAACAGAGAGAGTGAAATTATATGAAATTTTACACACAAGCTATTGTTAAATTAAACTCCAAAAAAATATTTCCAGTTCTGTCATGTCAAAAAACAACCCTCAGTGGAGTCCCTTTAAGGTATTTATTGTAGTAGGGTTAAATCTCATTTCATATCTACCTATGGACATGATATATACATTTTTACTTTGGGAGATACAACTAGGAAAGAATTTCAACAATTTAGATAAATATCTGATATGATGCTTTAGTTATATCCTAATATACATAGTTATGTAATATATGATTTAAACAAATATAAAAGTACAGATAAATAAACAGCTCAGATAAAATCTTGACTTAATACTGAATTAACACTCCTCTTACTATTTATTCAAGTTATTAATTTTTGGTTTAGTACAATGTATATATGCAAACTCTGTACTTGTCATTGGTAGAGGATGACCCCACGCCATAGATCATGAACACATTATGTCAGACATTATATACAATTATAATCTCATTTCTATTGCATTTTTTCATATGGAGACGTTGGCATTTCCTTGTAAAAAACATAGTACTGGTAAGTATTTTCACTGAATCCAGAAATATTTCTTAGCAACAGTTTGCAAACCTGTATGTGACCAAAATGCTGTTAAATTTAATGTCATCCCGCCCAAATGAAACAAACAAATATACATCAATATGTCATACACATTTCAAGAATATAAAGGGATAAAAGACTTTGCTGACCCTAATATAGACTACCGGTATAAGTATTAAATAATAGACATATCGATAGCAGCCGATGATTATCTAATTCCTTCAGTGAAAGGATAAACTCTGCTTAAACATTAAACAATTCAACATACTGGTCAAAGGAACAATTAAAGAAGTTTTTTACTTTTCACTTAAGCCTCAATTTTAACTTCCTTAACATCAATCTCTCTTCAAATAATTACAGACATTTACTTGAAATAAATGAAAATAAAATATTGAAACTCAAATAACATTTAAGATCTATGCTAATAATATGAATGACTTCAACACTTACTCTCAATAAAACTAAAATTGAATTACAATTCTTTGGTATATAAATCTTTATGTTTACTTTACAAACAGATGATAGTGATTGTTTCCAAGAAAATTTAAACTATTTTGTAGAACAGAGCTCCAGATGTGATATTTTCAAGGGTAATATAAAATGTAATGTGCTGGTACTAGAAAAATGCTAAATCCTGAGGGAGATCCTGAAACTGCCAAATATACAAGATTTAAAATTACATTATTTTTTTCTACATCTGACAATCAAATTATAGTCAAAAATTATACTCCATATTATACTGAATATCTTATTAACTGCTAGTTCTGTGATTGTTAATTTCTAAAATGCCATCATCTTAACTTATATAAAGCAGAAGCAAAAGAGCTCTCAAAATGTATGAGTAATAGCACTTATTTATATATCAATGTATTGATACACAGATATAAACATCTTACATACAGAGTAATATGACCTTGACCTTTCTATGACATATATTTCAGTATATCAGAAATCAGAGTTACTCTTTGAAACCCCCCCCCCCCCAAAAAAAAAACAAGCTTACATAAAAGATCTCTGAATAAAGTGGTGAAAAAGGTCTCTCTATACCACCACAATTAAATCCGGCATGCCTGCACATAAAGTCATCATCACAAGGCTGACTGGGCAAATAATAATTTTCAATATAATATAAAAATCACAAAATTTATAATCACAGAGATCTGATGTTTTCATGTAAAGTCTTCTATTATCTGATATGCCAATCTGGCTTTCTAGATGAACATCTTTTAATACAGATGTATCAGTTCCGACCCAGGGCACCTTCTGATTATACATCACAGAGAGGAAATATTTCACTGTTGTATGTATATATATATTTACCACAGCATTTTATATATATACTGTGAGATCATACAGATAATCAGTGTTCAGTTGTATTTGTGTATCACCTTCATCAGAATTCTTCATGACATCTTTACTGCCAATTTTCTCAACTAAATACACTATAATATAGGCTACTATTTGTTCTCTATATTGCTCAATATTTACTGTTGAATACATTACAAGACTGCCAAAAAAAAAAAACACTGAATCAGACTAAACAAATCTTCTGTATTTTACAAATAAATAACCTTTGCACCCCTAATGACATAAATTATTTGTATCAGTATTTGCCAAAAGATGCAGAAAATTTTTTCATATTATATACAAATGTATGTCAAGATAACATATCAGCTATAAAAAAAGTTATCGGTTATCATCTAGACAAGTATTGCATGAAAACTGTTGCTGTGTTTGATAACAAACATTAATAAACATTTGAATCAGAAATACATGATGGTAAATTCCTCACTGCTCAATCATTTCATATGATTATAAGAAATTCAAGAGTTCTTATCTTTTGAACAAGAAATAAAATCTAGGCAGGGTGTGTAGTATGCCGCTGACTGAGCTGAAATACTCACAAAGCTGAACAGTTTTACTTCCATTTTTACACCATATGAATGAATACAAAAAATCTTAACCCTATCTTTATCATATGGACTTGTACATTAACAAATCTGGTCTAAACCATTCATTACTTTAAATGAAAACTTCAAAATATGTACCCACTGAACCGTGCAGACAAAGTTCAGATAGCATGGCATGTACTGATCGGTATAGGAAGGACTAAACCATTCATCATTTTGAGGAAAAATTTCAAAATATGTACACACTGAATAACTAACAGTGCAGACCATGATCAGATAGCATGGGTGTACTGATCATAAAGGTATGTAGGTTGCCAGGCCAGCCTGTATAGCTGTGAACCAGACAACCGTAGGCTAGGTATTCTATACTCTTAACTGGTCATTACTATAGTCAAACAGTTATTTAGGTAACTCTAATACGAATAAGAGGGCATTAACGATAATAATCAGAGCACAAGTTCATTCAACTATTCACCAGCATACTTTTTCTTAAATTCATTAATATAATGTTACAATTCATTCAAATATTCAGTGCGCATTAACAATGTACCTTTTAGTAGCATTAGTTGTTAACTCAATTATAACGTGTTCCTTAAGAATACATACAATCCATATTCATATAAAATCTTTCTTTGATGAAATCTTTTATCATAAATTTTCCATTATATAATAGAAAATAAAAAAATTTGATGTTTGAAAACCATAGCCCAGTAATTCATCATGACTTTCAATAAAATAGGTTATAAAACCATATCGATTCTAAATAAAAGGTTATAAAAATGTGCTTTATTTAGAATGTATTTTTTCTCTAAGACCTATTCCAAAACTTTAATATCCATAAAAATATTACATTTCCTAGACAAAACTAAAACAGATATTTTAAAGGAGAGAACTAATGGCAAAATGATAAAGAGAAGATTTTTTTCCACTCTGATATTCCTCAGGTGTGTTACAGCTGACTGGTTTACAGTTTGTGTTTACTGGCAGTGGAAATACATACTATAATGATATAAGCAGTCTGGAATTCTAAAAATTCTACCAGTCTACTAGGCTACAAGTAATGTACCAATGATATTCACTAAGATAACTATGAGTCAAATTTGATGTTTACAAACTCTAGAACTGATAAAAATGTTGAACTTTTCCTTCCCCTGCTTATCTGATAGAAGATATTTTATCAAGGAAACGGAAAGATGGGAAGATTGGATTTACTAAAATCATGAAAATTTCTTCTTCACGAACAGACACTTCAGAGATCACAACGATATATATCAATGACATAATGCTGCCCAATAACACCCTTCAAAATTTAAAACATATTCAATATTAATAATAAGCAATCTAATACAGTTTAAAATCATTAACTTAATGAAAAGACAATATTTTCTTGACATTTTGAAATTTAATAGTGCGTTTTCTAATGATAAAAATTTCAAGTTAATCAAACAATACAATGGTTTAGAGTAAATAATTCAAAGAGAGCATTCAGCCTTTTCTTATAGTCTTCTTTGGAGAGTTTTAACTGTGATTTAATGCACAAGAATTATAAATTTATGAAAACAGAGTAAAATTAATCATTATCTATCTAATTTTAATAGGTTCGTAAGTTACCTGGCATGTGCCACCTATATTTATATCATAATTTAATGAACACCATTCTCACAATCAAAGTAAATTGGTATTTTTTTTATCAAGACTAAAACAAATACTACCAATCTCAGACACCCCCCACCGACCAAGACAGTTTTATACCTCTAAAGCATTGAAGGAGGAACTAATCCTTTTCTTGCTAATAACTGATTAATAAGCATTTTGGAACAATACACAACTAACATTTTTAAAGAATTCACAATTTAAGCATTTTGAACAATATACAACCCAGAACTCAACATTTTTGAACAATATGTAAAATTAATAACTTACTATAAAAAGACAATTTCAACATTTTTGAACTATACACAATTTCAGTATAATTGTCTAACTACACATACATTGAACAGCATTTCTAAATTGGTTTAGATGACATTAATACTTCCAGCATTTATCTACAGGTATATTACCTCAATTTGGTCTCCTTCCTTATATTCTTGTTTATCTGTGAGTTTATTTGGTGTTGGACGAACTTCAGTTAACTTGACTGTCCTAGGGGGCTGCCAACTGAAACATGAAGCAAATCGCCTATATGTAAGAGTATAAAGACATATAAGTTTTAAAATTATTATGTCCAGTCAATTTTTGTAGAAAAACACATGAAAGCATATCATTTACAAGTTAGAAAATTACTGCTTAAAATTCTCATAAAATTTAGATCTTAAACAGTTAACAATGATTATAATAGTTTATGTAACTTTATTACCCCCCAAAAAAAAACACTAAAAGAATTAAGCATGCAGTATTGGTAGATTAACTTGATTTAAACTAGAGCTGTAACACAGTGATGAATAATTACCCCAATCATCCCTGTGACACAGAATTATCTCTATGATACAGGATTATCTCTATGGCACAGGATTATCTCTATGACATAGAATTGTCTCTATGGCACGGATTATCACTATGACACATTATCTCTATGACACAGACTTATCTTTATGACACAGGACTATCTCTATGACACAGGATTATCTCTATGACAAAGAATTATCTCTATGACACAAGATTTCATGTAAAATTTTAGCTTATTTCAAAGAAAGTCTTTCAAGAAATCTTGATTTATAGTAGTAAAGCAAAATTGTCGTGAATATTTTAACTTGACTAACCGGCACTGCAAAGGCATCGGTTACATATCTTTTGATGTGAACAAAGGGGGCATTAGGATTATGAGTGACATGAAATGGATTCATTCTTCAAATGGGAAATTATGGACCACGGGATGCACGACATCAGCATGGTATTTACATATCACCCTGCTGATATACATTCAAGCCAAAATTAAAACAAAAATCCTTCAGGGAATTTATGAAGGGGATATGACAATGTTTTAGAAGTGACCTTAAACCAGAGCAATGGCAGTGCTCATGTTTTCTGCACAATGCATTTTTTTAGCTGTACATGTGAACCTAGACTGAGGATAATCATGGTATTAGTCTATAGTATAGTCAGCACAAAAGTTATAATTCTGACAATTAGCTCTCTCTTTTAACCTTAAAGTGTGACCTTGACCTTGAGCCAGCACAAGGTAGGCATGGGTTCTGCACATTGCTTCATTCAGGTGGGCACTTTCAGCCACATGCAAAGAAAATCCTTTATACTGTATAGGACTTTTAGAGTTGACAGGTTGGATATAGACAAATTGATGTGACTTTAAATTACTCTGGTATACCATAGCCTCGGTGGGTGAATAAAAAGATTCTTAAGTCAAAGTTGATACTTACTCATTTTCAAAAGCAACAGTAACTTCTTCATCATGAATATTCTTTATATATCCCTGGAAAATAAGTTTTTCTATCATAAAGTTGCTTTTATCTTCAGTAGTCAGCAAAAAAAAAAAAGGTTGAAGTAAGACTAAGTGTTATGTTTGTTAAAAGATGCCCTGCAGCCTTTGTGAAATAACTAAACTGCTGACCATTGTATTTGACTCTGTAATTGTTTTATATGATGTGTTATGTACCATGCCACAACAGACGTACTGTAATATATTTACAGTAATCTTTAAGTCTTTTAGTTGACAATTTCATTGAGTTGGTTCTTTGTTATGGACAAGTGAATTTCAAAATATTGCCTTTAAAGTTACTCCATGGTCTTTTTTACTGCAGGCAGCACCACTTCTCAGGGAGAAGTGACAGATCTCTTGTCCAAAACATTAGATGTACAGGCTTGTTATAGTAATATAATTTATGAAAGGCAGCTAGTTGGTGAATTGAACTGACTAAAAGACCATGCACTTTACAAGTGTTTTGAATTACTAGCCACCACATTTTGAAAATTATAGCATAGGTCACAGGCCTCCATTTCAGGGTTCCCGCTGTCGCTCGCCAATGGCGCCAAATGCGACAAAATATTAATTCTGACGCAAAAAATCTTTAATTGGCGAATTTAACTGGCACCAACGTAAGATAAAAGCATCCGACAACTAGTACACTTAAATGTCATAAGCGGCCGCGTCAATTACATAAGCGGCCCAAATGTGAAAGGTCACGCGCTATTAGTTTGTTTATCAAACTGTATAATTGGGTAATGTTTAATCAATTATGTCATCAATTGTGTGACACTTCGGGAGCATGTGAAGATGAAAGTGTCAATGTGTTAATTGGAACAATTTACGTCTTTCATTCTCTGACTCGGAGCACTGATAATTACTGTACATGTGTGGTCAACAGGTGTTAGTGGCGAACAGAGAAGTGCATTCAAGATCGTCCGTGATGTTGACAAACATTGAACTTTAGGTAAGTCGACTCGTCAACTGATTAAAAATAATTACAGTTTGAATATTAAATCGGATGAGAATTAAAAGAATAATTTCACTAATGATTGATCTAAAGCCACTGTTACTGGCTTACTGCAATGTTTATATTTTCATATCCGATTGTAAAGTGCAGAAGTGTCTATTCACATGCAAGCCCTACTAAAGTTAACAAAATTGTTATTGTTAAAAATACTTTGTATCTATTTCATATTTTGTTCTCATTGATTTTTAAATGAAGTGAATTTATAGTAATGTTGTTTTTTTTATTTTGTATCAGTAGATTACCAGATTGTTGGGTAGAAGCTGGGAAAGATCTTGGCTCAGTCCAGCCTGTGAGAAGAACTGCTATACTGGCAAAACGGTGGAAAACAGGACCTACCATGACTAACTTAACATGATGTTCGTGATTACATTTATGCTGTCATGTGTATTTATTTAAATGGAATTTGAAAACCATATAATACTATGTCTATATTTTAGATAATAAACATGTGCAGCTGTAATAAAATGAAATATTATAAATATGTGTTTGTAATCACAATGATATATAACTGCTAGCATATCTTAGCAAAGATAGGCATGTCTCCCTTGCAGAATTATTGGCTCCAACTTTGGAGCCATTGGCTCCAACTTTTTCTGATTGGCGAATTTGGTGGCGCAAACTAATTTTGACCCAGAGGGAACCCTGCATTTTATTGCCGATTCTGTTCAGTCATCATCAGCAATAAATATGCATACCCGTTGTATTTTCTGTGTGAATTACACATGACTGTGCGTGACTGGGCATGCTGTCAGCTGAGATAATAAAAAAGTAAGTGATTTGATAGGAATTCAAATATATTAGGATTTTAAATATTTTCAGACATGTCATGTTATAACTGCATTCAAAGGTATTTCTGTTTTACTTTAGTTCATAAACAGCTACAATTTAAAAAATAAATACGCTGACTTATGTGTAAATCGTTCCACAAGAAAATCATGAATATACTATGGATTTATAAAACAAATCCAATATGATGTTGCTTTGCAAAGACATATAAACTTAACAGTCAAATAATTTAGGGCCAGAAAACTATGAGCAATTCCATCCAGTGGTTGGTTATATGTACTAGCCTGAATAAGTTTTGGAAAAAGTCCAAAAGTGTGAAACTTTTAAAGTAGAAAGTATAGTCAAAAGTAACGATTTATACAGTTTTTTTTAGTTTTTATTTCTTTATTGCCATGGAATTCCATCTTTTCATTTTCAGAAAATAAGGTGATTCGCTACCAATTTTTCATAGGCAAACAGTGCTAGCGTCTTGCTATAATTCAATGAGGCTAACCCAAATTCAACTAGCCATGGACTAGCAGGCTACTGCAAAGATAGGGATTAGGACCAGTGTCCAGTATTAAACTGTATTTAACTACCCTCACTTTCATTTAAAGAACATAACATTCTGTCCACTGAAAGTGCTGGATAGTAGTTTAAAATTATTTCACTTTCTACTGCAAAATTTTTCTTTAAAAAGATTTTAACTTTTAAAGCTCCTATACAATCTTTTATAAACAAAGTTCTTATTTTTTCAGAAAAAGAAACTGAAACTTGGAACTTTTCGGCCATGCATTCCAAGTTTACCACAAAAGATAAATGAATAAATGATCAAGTAACATGCGTTCCATTTATTGTATTTGATTAAAATCTCTCCAAATAAGTTATTAAAATAACAATTTTGAGAATTTATGCATTACTACCTTGTAAAAAGCACCGTTACTCCCTCGTATTTCGACCGCTAGTTCTTCCATTTTGAGACAAAAGTGCGTTCTGGGAAAACCGGGTTATGGTTCCTGGCTTCCTTCACAGTTACCTGTGCGCGTAATTGCAGCAGAGGACCAATCTAAATATTTGACTGGTATACACTTTATTTTCTTTTTGTGAAAGAAAGCTTTTCTTTAAGCTAAAGATAGAAGAAGCAGTCTGCATGAATCCAAAATGGACGAAAATGGGTGACAGCTTGTGACAGCTGCAGTCATTAATTGATTTTATACGAGATTAAGCCGTAACTATAAAGATACCGATTCAGTTCAATTTGGTTATTTATAATAAGTTTGGTTTTAGCAAAGAATATGTCGTCAGACAGTGAATTAGATGAGTTTTATGATGCTGAAGATGTCACACCAAATAGGCAAGATTTTTTTGTTTACAAAAATTTACATCAGTAGACCTATGTCTATTTATTCTATCTATCTATCTTCCATTAATGTCAAACCACTCACGGGGACGTAGACATGTGTTTAATTTTAAAATGTTAGTTTAACCATTTTAACGTCAAACTTAGCTGAAATGAAAGCTTGTAACTTTCTCAGTTTCTACAAGTTTCTTATTCGGTTAGTTACCAGTGCTGGTGTCATTGATAGATTATAGCTTTTGGCTTATACAAAGTTGCAAGTTGATACCTGACAAAATTTCACACTGGCAGCATTACTACACAAATATAGCAACATTATCAATTCATTTATAAAAATATTATAAATGAACAGGGTAGTTGGTTAAAATAATCGTTCATTTTTTATTTTACCTTTTCTGTTTTAAATGTGTCATTCGGTATTTTATTCATATGTTTAATTTTTTCTGGTTCGCTGTCCTATTATGGTTCCCATCTATCTTACGTTAATGTCAAACCCCTTGCGGGGACGTAGACATAGAACTTAGAAGTGCACAGGGAATCAGTCTATGCATCTGTTTTCAATCAGACTTCCTCGTCTTTTATCATTGCCTTAAGGTGGCCAAAAAGAAATGATTATGAAAATTTTGCTGATACGTACAGAATTCTATGTAATATATTTTTTTTTCCTTTTCAAATATACACGTGTAGTCTATAGCTGGGCAAGCCATTAAGCTTGGGACTGCTTCCCGTCCATTTAGTCATCATTTATTGTGGAATTGAAACACAAATTGTCATTATCATGACTACTATTGTGAAGCTAAGTATTGCGCACATAATCCAGGTCCTGCTACCAAAGTCAAGGTCACATTATAAGAGAGGTCGAAGTTAGTGTACGCGGACCATTTAGTCATCATTTATTGATGGGTTGCAACAGAAATGATAACTATCATGACTACAAATGTGACACATATAATTTAGGTCAATATTTGCAAGATCAAGGTCACTAGAGATGATAAAATATCCGGATATTGCTCAGAGCATATCTCCTCTATATATGCCCACGTCTCTTACAAAAGCTTTTGTGATGGGCGTATTTTGTGAAAATGTTGCCCTTGTTTATAATAACAACATAGATATAGGAATTGACTGCTATGTTTATCGATTGATATAAGACTGCTTATCTTATAGTAGAAGGTAATTGCTTGTTGGGTTATATTGTGAGTTAATTTGGCAATATTTAGGTAGTTTGTAAATTGTGCTGCCTATTTTACTGTTGCAATGACTACATGTTATTGCTGAATATCAAAATAAAATGCTATCAAAATGTTTATTTGTTTTTATTTTCAAAACTTTTGATAAAAAATTAAAATACCGGTAGGTCATTTATTGTATAACTTGTGTTATAAATAACTTTTGTTTATAGGTCACTTATTGCTGATCAAAGTAGGGCGGAGTGTCATGACAGTGAGGTGGAAAGAGAAGAAAGGGAACTTTTAGAGCTTCAAAGACAACAGGAAGAGAGGTAATATAAAAATTTTGTAGGTTTTCAAGTGTTTTTCTTATTTTATCATTTTTATATGCCCGTTTAAAAAAATGGGTCTTATCATAAACGTGATCGCCCCTGGTGGACAGCATCCAGTTTTATCCAAAGTTTTTCTTCTACAGTATATAAAGCACTAAAGTATTATTTGATACAAATTTTCACAAACCAGGTCATTGTTACTCATGCTTGTCTGAAACTTTAAATGCTTAAAATGACCTTGACAGTTAGGGTCAAATTATTTAATTTTGTTTAAATTGTCATAATTTTGTTATTTATGTACAGATTTAATTCATATGTGGACAAAACAACACTTTTGACCAGATAGACATGTTGAATACTTTAGATATGACCTTGACCTTTAAATGACCTTAACATTCAAGGTCAAATGATTGAATTTTGTTTATTAGCTCACCTGTCACAAAGTGACAGGGTGAGCTTTTGTGATCGCTTTTCGTCCGTCCGTCCGTCCGTCCGTCGTCCGTCCGTCCGTAAACTTTTGCTTTAAATGACATCTCCTCATAAACCACTGAGCCAATTTCATCCAAACTTCACAGGAATGTTCCTTTGGTGGTCACCTTTAAAAATTGTTCAAAGAATTTAATTCCATGCAGAACTCTGGTTGCCATGGCAACCAAAAGAAAAAACTTTAAATATCTTCTTTTAAAAAACCATAAGAGCTAGAGCTTAGATATTTAGCATGAAACATCTTCTAGTGAGTGTCTACCAAGTTTGTTCAAATAAAAGCCCTGGGGTCAAAATTGGCCCCGCCCCTGGGGGTCATTGATTTTCCCTATATGCATATAGTAAAAACTTAAAAAATCTTCTTTTAAAGAACCCAAAGAGCTAGAGCTTAGATATTTGGCATGAAACATCTTCTAGTGAATGTCTACCAAGTTTGTTCAAATAAAAGCCCTGGGGTCAAAATTGGCCCCGACCCAGGGGGTCATTGATTTTCCCTATATGCATATAGTAAAAACTTAAAAATCTTCTTTTAAAGAACCCAAAGAGCTAGAGCTGAGATATTAAGCATGAAACATCTTCTAGTGAGTGTCTACCAAGTTTGTTCAAATTAAAGCCCTGGGGTCAAAATTGGCCCCGCCCCCGGGGGGTCATTGTTTTTCCCTATATGCATATAGTAAAAACTTAAAAAATCTTCTTTTAAAGAACCATATAAGCTAGAGCTTAGATATTTGGCATGAAACATCTTCTAGTGAATGTCTACCAAGTTTTTTCAAATAAAAGCCCTGGGGTCAAAACTGACCCCGCCCCAGGGGGTCATAGATTTTCCCTATATGCATATAGTAAAAACTTTAAAAATTTTCTTTTAAAGAACCCAAAGAGCTAGAGCTAAGATATTAAGCATGAAACATCTTCTAGTGAGTGTCTACCAAGTTTGTTCAAATTAAAGCCCTGGGGTCAAAATTAGCCCCGCCCCGGGGGTCATTGATTTTCCCTATATGCATATGGTAAAAACTTAAAAAATCTTCTTTTAAAGAACCATAAGAGCTAGAGCTTAGATATTTGGCATGAAACATCTTCTAGTGAATGTCTACCAAGTTTGTTCAAATAAAAGCCCTGGGGTCAAAATTGACCCTGCCCCAGGGGGTCATAGTTTTTTCCTATATGCATATAGTAAAAACTTAAAAAATCTTCTTTTAAAGAACCCAAAGAGCTAGAGCTAAGATATTTAGCATGAAACATCTTCTAATGAGTGTCTACCAAGTTTGTTCAAATAAAAGCTCTGGGGTCAAAATTGGCCCCGCCCCAGGGGGTCATTGATTTTCCCTATATGCATATAGTAAAAACTTAAAAAATCTTCTTTTAAAGAACTCAAAGAGCTAGAGCTAAGATATTTAGCATGAAACATGTTCTAATGGGTGTCTACCAAGTATGTTCAAATAAAAGCCCTGGGGTCAAAACTGGCCCCGCCTGGGGGGGGTCATTGATTTTCCTTATATGTGTATAGCAAAAACTTAAAAATCTTCTTTGGAAAAACCCAAATAGCTAGAGTTTAGATATTAAGCATGAAACATCTTTAAGTAAATATCTACAAAGTTTGTTAAAATAAACGCCCGGGGGTCAAAACTGGCCCTGCCCCAGGGGTGACATTGTTTTTAACTATATGTGTATAGTATAAACTTTAAAAATCTTCTTTTAAAAATGCCAATGAGCTAGAACTTAGATGTTTAGCATGAAACATCTTCTTATGGGTGTCTACCAAGTCTGTTCAAATAAACAAATAAAAGCCCTTGGGTAAAAATTGGCCCGGGGGCGGGGGGCCTATATACAGGTGAGCGACCTCAGGGCCATCATGGCCCTCTTGTATTTTCTAACTTTGTCATTTATTAATTTTATGGAAATGATTCATACTTGAACAAAACAAGTGTGACTGGATTAAAAAAATTGAAAGACATTTTTTTCTTTATTTTTTTTTAAAGATTTATTAAAACCTTTTATTTGTTTGTTTTTAGAAAAACTAAAAAAAGTCAAGTGTTGCCATGTCCGGTGTTTGCTCTTGTTTTAAGTTAAATCAATTTAAAACAATTGTATGTATCTTTATTGTATGTGACAGTTTCAATTGATTATAATTTAGTAATTGTTAACAGAACAATAGTATAAGTATGTAGTTGCAGACTTGTTAAATTTCAGTGGTCTGTAGAGTATTACAAAATTTTGTTAAAATATATACATGTACAGTATAAACATTACAAGAATGATTAAATGTATTATTATAATATTTTAGACGTAAACGTGAAGATCAAGAGTTACAGATGAGGCTAGAGGCCATTAAGATGAAGAAGCAGGGACAAATTGAAAAAGGAAAATTAACTGTAAGCATTATCTGTAGCCAAATCTTTGTTCTGTTGCAAATACATAAAAGCTCACTTTTTCTGGAGAAAATTAAAGCATTTATATTTGGAGCAGACTTTGTTTTTGAATCAACTTCAGTTATATCAATTTTTAACTGGACCATTTTTTTTAAGGGGAGTGGTGGCCTAGTGGTTAAGGTGTCTGCCTCTCAACCCAGGGATCATGGGTTTGAGCCCTAATCAGGTCACGACCATGTTTCTTTATATGACAACAGAACTGGTTGGTTCCAGGAAGCGAACTCAAAAGTGATTTATATAAGTTGCAAGAACTTGTTTCACAATCGAGCTTAAATAAACATGTTTAAACCAACTGGACCTTTTTTGTAGTGCTGTAGGGAATATAATTTTTTTTTTTTTTAACTTATGGGAGTTACTTTCTATACACAGGAGGATATTGCATGATGATGTGTTGGGTAATATGATACTTGTACAGTAACAAGTATTGTGCAAAATTGTGAAGTATGATTGTCACTAAATCGAGTGGTTACTTCCTTATTGACTATCATAGTATCAGTATCATATATCACTGTTTAGTTTTGCTATACATCTAGCTTACTGAATGTTAAAGGTTCTATTCAGGGGAATATCTATGACAGATTATAATGTACATAAAAAACACCTGAGATCTTTCTCCACAAGCAATGCTGGAAAGTCACCATATGGCCTTTAATGCGTGGGTATGACCCATCCAAATTGTCACAATGTCATGTTTTATGGAAACTTGATACTTTTTCATGATTTTTCACCTATTCTTTTGTATTTCTGCTACATTAAAATTTTCATGACAAACTTATTTAAACTTATTGCTGCCTACAAAATTTGATTTTGTTAGGTATATAACAGCTACTACAAATGATTCAAAAATTGTATCTTAATGATATATTTTGCTCATTTTTGACTAAAATAATTTTATGAAATCTAGATTCTCACTGAATACATCTAATTTAAAAAGAAGTAAACAAATAATGTATGGGAAGCTGCATTCCAAATTATAGATCAAGCTAAGATGATCCTTATTAAATGACACTTTGTATTCATACTTTGTTATCCTATAGCATGTAAAGTTTTCAAAGTGACATTAGTTTTCTATTACATAGAGACTGAGTTGAAAGTATAGATATTCTGAAATATCATATTTAAACGTAACATATCTTTAATCTAAGTTTATTTTATTTATTAATATAAAATAAAGTTTGCCAGCAAAATGCAATCTTAAAATGGTAATGGAAGAGAGGGTATTTTTGTTGTCTGTTTAACAGGAGTCCAGCAAAAAGGAAGAATTGGAAAGACGCAGAAGAAAACATGAAGAATTGAGGAGGAAAATGACCGAAAAGGGAGATAACTCTGAAAGTCCAGAAATTTCATCAGACTCTGATCTTGATGATGAATCTAACAATAGACTCGGAATGTGTGCTGAATATTTGGATAAATACGCCACTGAGGATAGAGTAACTGATCTTCCGCCATTAAACACCACAGACAGTGATCAAAGTGATAAATTTAACAACTATTCAGTAAATATTAATACATCACAACCTGAAAAACAAAAAGTGAGCAAACATTTGCATGATTTAGTTGATGATAAAACAAAGTATGAAACAGTCGACCACAATTTTGATGTTGAAAATATCATTGAGAATGTCCTTCAAGAGACTCAGCTGCTCAGTGATGACAATGAGCCGGACATTGTTCGCAGTACAAAAACTAGAACACCACCAAATACTCTCCAAGCAAATGCTCAGGCACAGTCTGTGATACTGCCACCTAGTGGTGAACATTATCAGCCCTCTAGTGGTGAGAATAGTAAACATGCTGAAGGGAAGACAGCGTTTGTAGAGCCAGTGGCACCACCAAGAAAAAAGAAGAAGTTGAAATTGTCAACTTCCTTAGTACCAGGAACGCCAGAAAACTTGGTAGGTGTTGTAAGTGACTTAAGGTGTTGCGCAGCTAACAATTTCCCACCACATTTTAAAAAGGTCGGCCAATTAAACAGAAATATATATGATAAAAACTTGTAAAACCCACAATAACAAAGTTTATGATTTATATATAATTGAATTTTATTGTGGTAATATTATTAAAGCAATGTTTCATAAGCTTTTTCTTTAAAATTGTGTAATTTTGTTGTAGCTTGGAGTTCTTAATATTTGAAAATCTTAGAAATATTGAATGAAGCACTTAAAATGAAAAAATCTACAAAGGGTTACAAAGAACTCAGAATTAAATTTTGAATGGATTTTTTGTCCGTTTCTTAGCAGGATTTGAGTAAAAAGTGTTGCAACCCTTTTCATGTTTGGGTCTTTTTGCACAATAAAAATTATTATTCTGGAATAACTAGGTGAGGTGAAGGAATGACCAGAAAATTTACATACAAGTCAAGACCTATATCATTTAGTACATAAATCTTTAAAAAAATATTTCCAGTCCCATTATGTCAAAAACCTCAGTGGATTCCCTTTAATTTGATTGAGTACATTTGTATTTCTGTTTTGACTGAAATTAAAAAAAGGAACAATTGTTCTTACAAATTTATAAAGATAAAAGCTTGTTCATTCTGAACATTTGCGGAGAGAAATCTTTGGCAATGTTATAAAAATCTCAATATGTAACTGACAATGAAAATCTCTTTTGTTTCAAATGTTTTTAAAAATAAAAATATTTATATTATAGCCATCATCTCAGAGGAGCAGTGTTTCAAGCCTGATCCCCATGGATGATTCTACCTGTTCACTCGACAGCCAGTCACCTAGTCTATCACTGTCACTAGAACCCCAATCTCCAGGCCTTCCACCAGAGAGAATTTTAGGAGGGTCAGATGATTTCAATCAGTTGGCAGATGACCTACAGCGTGCTCTGGACCTGACAACAGTAATAAGATCGAAAAAAAGACATATCAACACAGAGGTCAGTTTAGCATGTTTAGTTTATACAGAATCTATCATTAGTTTGATGGAGTAGGGAGCTATAAGCTTACAAAAAACATTCACAATCTGTTCCTTGTGCCATCACTAAACAATGAGCATAATTTTCCTCACTGTAGGAAACAAAGGCTTGCCTCTGACGGAGTTTAAACCTTCATTGCAAGCAATTTTTAGATTATTAGTCTAAGGTGATAACCAAAGGGTCAGTTAAATATGTCAAATGTTTGTCCTTGCGTCACACTTATTTACCATTTCTCATTGTGTTATAATTTATCTCATGTGAAGTAACCTTACACAGTGTGCCCATCAGCTGATATTATGGCTTACTACTCATTATATATTTATCGCCAGTTGCTTTTTACAGCGCATGTTAAATCACCCAGGAGTGCTTAATTGTTGGTTACTATCAAATTTTAACTTCTTATTTTAAAAAATCACTGCTGTGAAGGACTTTTATATATTGTGGGATTTGAAGTCGATTGGGTCAAGGTCACTGAGGCAAAATATATAGATATATTTCTTCATAGTTTTAGTGTATGTGTTAAAGGGATATTCAGTTGGTGTACTGGTATTCTGGTCTTGATTTATTGCTGGGACAGAATTAAATCTAGGTTCATCATGAATTTTTAAATAAATAAAGTTATATGAAAATTATTTAACCTTTGTAGTGTTGTCAAAATGCATGAAGATAGAAGAGCTTTATCTTATCTTACTTATATACAGTGAATTTAACATAATTTATTGTTTTTATTGTTTTTTGTCTATGAATTATGTTTATGTTTGATTTGCAGCAAGCTGATATTGATGCAGTCAATTCAGATCATGACTCACCAAGAGATACTCTAGAAAATAATGCATCTGGGAGCAAAAACAAAGTGGCCAGTCTTGAGCGAGACTCAAAGCTCCATAAAGGCTCAAGTCTGGAACGGAAACTCAGCAAGGGGTCTAGTTTGGAAAGGGATGGAAAGTTGAGTAAGAAATCAAGCTTTGAGCGTGAGGGACGGAAAAGTAAAAATACCAGTCTTGATAGGTAAAGAAAAATATATTAAAAATAATGTTTGAAACTTACAGCATCACACAATTATTTGTACCAATACAAAGTCTGTTATATGTATTATAACACTTGTCTTTTATGTTAAAGCTCAACTTTTTGGTAAAGAAATTTGATAAAAATGTTATCGAGAAATTGATTATGATATAAAAGTATTTATAATGTTGCATGTTTGATTTTCATTGGATTAATGTGGCATTTCAATAATATATATAGTATACATGGCTTCTATAAATTTATCAAATAATTTTCATTTTTTGAAGTAAAGAAGTGCTTATTTATCTCAAAAGGGACTCCACTGAAGTTTTTTGACAAGATTGGATTGGTGATAATTTTCGAGAATAATGTTTCATTTGATATTTTTCTACACCAAGAACTTGTGTGCAAAATTTCAGATTATTCACCTAATCAGTTTTTCCAGAATGATTATTCTACTTGTGCAAATGACACTTTCACTCACATCGGGTTAAGAATACCTCAAAATTACGATTTTCAATTTATTTCTGAGTATATTTCTTAATTATCTTCTTTTTATCTTCATGTTTTAAATGCCTCAGTTGATCTATGTAAAACAAATTCAAATTTTATGTTTTAATGCTTTTAGACCTCAGTGGAGTTCCTTTAATTTGTTATAAAGATTTGTCACTGTTGACAAAACAAAGTTTGCATTAATTTTAAGCCTATATAACCTGATCCCAGTGATTTGGGTTATATAAGTTTACAGATATATTAAGATATGGCCATATAACCTGTCAAATAAATCTCTGTAACTAATAACATACTTGCATATATGCAAATAGTAACTGTAATTATATATCATTTAATTTACAGACATAGTAAAACATCAAGTTTAGAGAAGGTAGAGAGACGTAGATCTAGAAATTCTAGCGGTCATGATCAAGTGAAGAGGAAGGAGTCAATGAATAGACCAAGATCGGGCTCTGGGAATCCATTAACAGATGAGGTATTATATATTGTTTACAATATTGTATAATTGTTCAATTGTATTGTATTGTAATAATATAGCACGTTCAATCTCATGTCAATCTCAAACAACTGCATCTATTTGCTCAAATTTTTAACTGACCAGCTCTGAAAATTATTGAGTGCATTGCCTGTTTGATAGCTCTTGTTTTGTGTTACAATATTTTTGAACCTTTTTAACTTAAGCGTAAAAAAGAATTTGAAAATAGAAATAACTATGACTATATTATATGTTTGTGATTTTACTGATTCGGTCTTTTCCTCCTGAAAAAAATTAAAAATTCAATTGTGACGCAGCCTCTCTGTATATAATTGATATCAAATTATTTAGATTATAAACTATGGGGGAATCATGATGTATATTTACAGGAGATATTGAGTTGTGTCATGGTAAAGAATCTAGACACTGGGGAGATGGTGGCACTAAAAGATGCTGATGTTAAACTACCAAAATGTGTAGATCCTCTTGTTTTACATATGATGGAACGAACAAATGAATATCCCAGGTTCGTCTCAGGCTCAAAATTGCTGGCTTGTTTTGTCATTTTTGGCTGTATTAAATCATATTAGATATCACATCTTACATGCATTGTAATTTCTTAAAGATTTGTATTAAAATTGTCCAGAAAAATATCCTAAAGCCTGCAAGAGGCCTGCTATAGTCGTTAAATGTAAGTCTCCATTTATATGATAATGTCCTATATAAATACACAGAGCAACAGATAAGCTTAAAAAGTGAATTTGGTATTACTCCATCATTTCCTTTGGAATTGGGTATTGGCTCAAATTAATTGGGTATTCCCAAACTGGATACCCTATGATTTCAAGATCAATTGGGTATTCAATTATGAAAATATGAATTTTATGGTTTCAATATCAATAAAATTTAAACTGTTTTAAAAAGAAAATAGGATGAACAATTTACTAGAACTTTTCACAATTGTTTTATTTTTTGTATCAAATGCTCATGTTATATTTCATAATATTTTTGACAAGTTTGTTTTCTGATTGATTTTTGATTATTTACGATTGTTAGCTCGACTATTCGCAGAATAATCGAGCTAATGCAGTCACCCATTTGTCGGCGTCGGCGTCGGCGTCCCTGTGGTTAAGTTTTTGTATGTAAGCTGGTATCTCCATAATTACTGAAGGGAATGGATTGAAACTTCACACACTTGTTCTCTGTGATTATCTAAGATGATTGGCACAAGTCCCATAACTCTGATTTGCTTTTTTTCATAATTATGCCCCTTTTTCGACTTAGAAATTCTTGGTTAAGTTTTTGTATGTAAGCTGGTATCTCCATAACTACTGAAGGGAATGGATTGAAACTTCACACACTCGTTCTCTGTGATTATCTAAGATGATTGGCACAAGTCCCATAACTCTGATTTGCTTTTTTTCATAATTATGCCCCTTTTTCGACTTAGAAATTCTTGGTTAAGTTTTTGTATGTAAGCTGGTATCTCCATAACTACTGAAGGGAATGGATTGAAACTTCACACACTTGTTCTCTGTGATTATCTAAGATGATTGGCACAAGTCCCATAACTCTGATGTGCTTTTTTTCATAATTATGCCCCTTTTTCAACTTAGAAATTCTTGTTTAAGTTTTTGTATGTAAGCTGGTATCTCCATAACTACTGAAGGGAATGGATTGAAACTTCACACACTTGTTCTCTGTGATTATCTAAGATGATTGGCACAAGTCCCATAACTCTGGTTTGCTTTAATTCATAATTATGCCCCTTTTTCGACTTAGAAATTCTTGGTTAAGTTTTTGTATGTAAGCTGGTATCTCCATAACTACTGAAGGGAATTTATTGAAACTTCACACACTTGTTCTCTGTGATTATCTAAGATGATTGGCACAAGTCCCATAACTCTGATTTGCTTTTTTACATAATTATGCCCCTTTTTTGACTTAGAAATTCTTGGTTAAGTTTTTGCGTGTAAGCTGGTATCTCCATAACTACTGAAGGGAATGGATTGAAACTTCAAACACTTGTTCTCTGTGATTATCTAAGATAATTGGCACAAGTCCCATAACTCTGATTTGCTTTTTTACATAATTATGCCCCTTTTTCGACTCATGAATTCTTGGTTAAGTTTTTGCGTGTAAGCTGGTATCTCCATAACTACTGAAGGGAATGGATTGAAACTTCACACACTTGGTCTCTGTGATTATCTAAGATGATTGGTACAAGTCCCATAACTCTGATTTGCTTCTTTGCATAATTATGCCCCTTTTTCGACTCATGAATTCTTGGTTAAGTTTTTGCATGTAAGCTTGTATCTCCATAACTACTGAAGGGAATGTATTGAAACTTGAAGAGTTTGTACCTTTTCGGACAATTTTATGTATTCATATAGGTAAGCATTATTATACTCAATGAAACACCCTTGTGACAAATTTTCGAATAGTCGAGCGTTACTGTCCTCCGACAGTTCTTGTTTTGTTTCAAATCATTTTCCGTTTTGTACGACGCCATATTGCTTTCAAAGCGTCAATTGATACAGGTGGGACCTACTTATTGACGGTCTCTGCAAAATCAACTTTCTCTGCTGGTCTGTAAAGACCGTCGACCTGAGTAGACAAATCGACAGTGTCATGCTTTATTGATATGACTTAGTCGGTCTTTGGAGACCGGGGACCGTCGAAGACCGGAGACCGTTGATTAGTAAGCATTTATTCGGGAATATTCGGATAGCTTGCATATCAATATGATTTGTCCAAAACTACGAGCGTACGACATATTAATTTGGGGTGATGAAAATGATAATACGCATGTTTTTTAAGACAATTGCGTTTTTTATTTGTTTTAATGGGTTTTGATACTCATTCTTAAAAATTCAATTGCGTATTTTATAAAATTAATTGCGTAAATACGCAAATACGCACCTTATCTGTTGCTCTGAATATATCCTATGTTTAATATAAATATATGAATGAATATAGATTTTCAATTTGATCTCATAGATTGTATACATATATTCTTTTGTTAAATAAAGATGGAATTATCCGAAAAGTTTGAAAAATATTAGGGTAGATATAATTAACATATTTTGAATGCATCGAGAAAATCTACTAAGCGAACTTTAAGTTTGACACTTAGAAGTTTTACTATACATCATTATATATTATATTGTTTATAGTGAAGACGGTACAGATAAAGATGATGATGGTCGGTCTGAGGGCGGGCTATCTACAGCTGCTCAAAGTGTTAGGAAGAAAGGGTATGTAGTTTCTAGCTGGAATTTTGTCAGAATATGGAAGTTATCCTGCTTAAACTGTTTCAGTTTGCATCCTACTTAAATAGTGTTAGTGTAATAATTTTGTTCAAGGTTTTAATGCAACTTTATTTCTCATTAAACATAGATTTTTACTGAATGGTTCCCCTTTTTTAAAAGTAAAAATAATTTACTTTAGATTCCTTCTCTACAATCACTTAGGATATTTTCCACAAGAAGAAGTTAATAATAATAATAATAATAATATCTTTATTTATAGAAGGTTACACATTAAGAACATACAATAACAATCATATATATCTTATTTCCAATGTGGCCTTCCGAAATAGAAAACAACAACAACAACATGACATGCATAGGTAGAAAAATGAAAGTATAATATGTAATTTTTAGAATAATAGAACTTGTATACTTTCGACAGACACTCAACAATTTGTTTAAACATATACATATATTGCATCATTCGTTCGTTCATTCATTCGTTCAGGTTTTATCAGAAAAATGTTCTGATCCATTATGTAGGAATGTTTATTTAAGTATCTGCCTAGTAATGTTTTACTTAAACTTTGCTTACAGACTGACAATTAACTATTGTACATAAACCTAATTGTACAATTAAATCAAAATATATTTATCAACACTCTCTTTTAACCCTTTCACTGCCATAGGGACGGCATATGCTGTCCCTATTATTTTCGGCGTATTTGCCATATGGATGACTTTTGCTGTTTCTATAATAATAATTATAATTATAATAATAATAATTATGATAATAATAATAATAATAATAAATATATAGATAATTATACCATTGACAATAATTATGTTATACTAGCAGATTTGGAAACATATATAATTATTATAATACTAGTAACAAGTAATAATAATTATATTAATAAATGATATAGTAATTTCTCAGAAAATCTTCTGGCAAATAGGTGATCAATAAATAAATAACCCTCTGGCAGCGAAAGGGTTAAACAAAAATAATGTTATTCAAATCTCCACTTCCTAGAACTAACCAGTACTGATGTCATATGATCTGATACAGTTTTGATCCAAGTAAGGCTCTTACCCACAGTCCCTTGTTTTACAGGCAGACACTGTAACCACTTGGCTCCTCCTACCTGGTAATTGTTGATTGGCAGTATAACATTGAATTACAATATTCTTGTAATGTATACGATTTTTTTGGAAGAGGAGAATTATATGAATTTTTTTTTAGGAAAAAGTTAAAGAGACTGTTTGGGAAAAAGGTTGGGAAAACATACAGTAAAGTGAAGTCTGTCGCAGATCAAGGTTAGTTGATTAATTAAAAAAAATCTACAGCAAAAAAAAGTATCTAAAATTAAGTCCCATACTTCAAAAATGCTTGAAAATGAAAAAAAAATGTCCTTAAAAGTTCTTGATTTTGGTTACTATCTTCAAAGTACTTGAAAAATGCTGAACTTTGTCTAAAGACATACTTGAAAAAGAAATGTAAGAAGTGTATGATAATAAATTGATATCATCAAACAAAACAAACCATTTAGTTACTTAATCATTGATAACAAATGATATATGTACGACATGAATTGTTTGAATCACGGACAAAAACATGTTTGAAAAGAACTTGAATCAGTATTGAATGTTTCTATGGATCCTGAATTCTTTGATCAGAACTTTTTAAAATTCTTAAAATTGTAAAATTGATAAAGGACTCTATCAGGAATATTGTTTGGTAAAGTTAATACCAATGAAAACCTTCATTGATTAAACCAAGTTAAAAATGTCATGAGCTGAAAGTAAGTGGGGATTTACATATGCTTAAAGTAAGGAATATCATGTGCCTAAACTATGCAAAAAATGTCATGTGTGTGAAGTAAGACAGAAATGTCATGTGTCAGAATTAATTGAATCTAAGTAAGATATGTCAAGAGTTTTATGTCTCTATAGTGATGGAATCATAGTAAGAAATTTTGAGTACAGGAAGAAAGGAATGTCATGTGTCAAAAGTAAAAAATGTTGTTTGCTTAAAGTAATGGAATCTGAGTAGGAAATATTGTATGCATATAGAATGTATGTCATATGTCTTAAGGAGTGGTATCTAAGTAAGGAACATAGTGTGCCTTAAGTAAGTGTGTTTTGTGTCTGAAGTACTCAAATCAAAGTACGGATTGTTGAGTGTATAAAGTAAGAAAGGAATGTCATGTTTTTAAGTAGTTACTGACATGCATCTGAAGTAAGGAATGTCATGTGTATAAGGTATTGGAATGATGCCATATACATGTATTTATAGTTGTCTTGGCAAAACAGACGATGAATGGAGGAGTACTCGTTAATACCCACTGGAGCATAACTTTGTTATAAATTTGTTAAAAGTATAGGCTAAAGCATATATAGCTATATGTTATAGCTTTAGATTCAAACTAGGAATATCTAGATTTATGCGGTTCTTTGTTGTTGCTTTTTAGCCTAACTAATGACATATGCTAGGAAATTTTTTTTTTAAACTTTGCAGTCACATTGTTTTTATGTTCATGTTATAATTTCTAGAAAGATTTTCAAAAAAAAACAAAATATTGCTATTTTTCTGTTGCTACAAGCAGTGTAATGAATCACATTTGCCTCTGTTATTCAAAACACCTTAGTTACATGGACATGTATATGTTTTTAGTATGATTTTAAACAAGATACAAACAAATATTTTACTAATTCCAGACAGCCCAATGTAGCTATATACACTTTAACCCTTTACCTCATATATACGCGAAACAATGTACTTTCAACCCCCCCCTTTTTTTTAGGTCTAAAATAGTGAAAAAAATGTCCTATTGGGGCCCCAAACACATGTTTTCGTTTGAGAAATGTTGCTAAAAAAAGTGAGCATTTTTTCGGCGCCGCCTCCCATCCAAAAGATACATCAGGGGGTTGCCAGAAGGGGGATGTGCCCCCTTCTGTTTGGGAAGTTTGAAGGGGGGCGGAGTCCCCTCATCGCCAAGAAAATTTTGGACTTGTGAGAGGCTAAAAATGACCCCAGGTCAATCATAAGGTAACGTTTAACCAACGCTGAAAAGCCTTTGACTCTATCTCAATCCCTTGAGAAGTTGCAGCACTTTGAAATAAATTTTGATGGAAAAAATCGAGGCAAAATAGTGATTTTTGGCAATTTTGAGATGTCCCCTCGTTGCCATGGTAACAGGAAATTTAAGACTGAGCATTCCAGTCAACATTTGTGCCAAGTTTGATTAGTATTGAAGCATTTTTCATAGTTTCATAGCAGTTTGAACTTGTAACAGGAGGCTTTTCAGTGAAAACGGCCATTTTTCACAATATGCTCATGGGGGAAAGGGTTAAAGGGACTCCACTGAGGTTTTTTTGACATGATGGTACTGGGAATATTTTTCAGAGAATTTATACCTCTTGATATACTTCAATACCAATAACTTGTGTGCAACATTTCAGATCATCACTTTGTTTTTCCAGAATAATCATTTTATTGTGCAAAATGGGCTATAAATGAAAAGTTTTGAATGCTTTTAACTCAGTCTGGATAATAATTGCTGAATCACATATCAATTTAATTTAATAGCACATAATATGTAAATTGAATTTTGAATCTTTTTACTTTTGTCAAAATCTTTTACATTTTTATCAAGTTTAAATTTCTTAGAATATTTTTGCTCATCTGGAGGCATGCAGCTTTAAGATACTGGGCACTTTTATTGAGTGCTAGGATATCTTAGCAGCCAGATGCTTATTGCTAACTTTTTATCATTGAAAAAAAAACAACAAAAAAACATTTCATTTGTGTTTATAAAAAGATTTGTATGTCCAATTTTGATGCTTTTATATCTTGAAATTTGTTAAATGTATCAGAAATTATTTTCTTTCATGGTAAAAAAAACCCTGAGCTTTTTTATGCTAAAAGTTGCTAACTTTTGTCTATAACAGCAAGACAAAGATTGATTGTTTGACTTTATTGCACCATGACAATGCACTTTATTTAATATAATTTCCTGTTATTTTGAATGTTGCTGTGCAGTCAAGTCAAGTAAACAATTTATAATAAAAAAAATAATTGTTTTTTTTTGTTACTGTCTACATTTGGCGAAAACAACACCAAAGCCTATGGGACCACTCCCCAGATAAACCAATTACATTAATTATTAGTGAAAATAGATCTAACCAGTTAGAACCACATTTATGTACCAAATGATAGTGTGATGGGATAGTGAGAGAGGAACTATTTTTCTTCATCGATAATGTCCTGTATCCAAGAATGGCACTATTTTGTATGTGGTTATTTGGTTAATTTAAGGAGACAATACCATTGAGCTAATTAAGATAAATGGTTAATCAATGCACTGCAGTAATGAATGAGTGTTAATTAAGGCTATAATGATGTGAATTTATTGACCTTCACATGACCTGTACAAGATTATCGTCAAGTGAAGATAGTGCTCTAAATGACCTTTGTTGACCTTTGTCATAAAAGCAAAAGATGCAATGTAAACAAAATAAACTTAGCAAGAATTGGACACCGATTGGAGTAGAAATGTGACTTATGGATGTTAAATTTAAGTCAAGATTTAAGTGAAGATTTTCTTTAATAAATATATTTTGTTTAATAAGTAAATGTTTAGTATAACTTCCAAAGTATTTTTGGTACATTTGTATTATACTGTGTGATGTGATGTATCTATATTGTGGAACTATTAAATATGTATTACACAAAAATGATGCATTCAGAATTTATGCAGTCAGAGTTCCTGTTTGGTGATGAAGAAATTGGTAAACTATTTTTGCTCACATGTTGATGAAATCCTTTGTTTTAAAGTTCTAAAATAAAGATTTCTATTTTCTGACCTACCTGAGTTGAATACAGGATCACTGTTTTCATCGTTTACTTGGGCGGCTCAAACATTCAGTCTATTTACCATCAGTCTCTTTCTGCTGATAAATAAATCATATGGGATCAGTAATGGTAATAACTGGTTTCTTATCCAGGAAAGTGGGTTTTGTGGACTGACCTCCAATATATGACAAGAAATGTGTAGCAATCAGCATGAAAACTAAATTGATATGTTAACAAACAAACAATAAGCGGGAAGTGCTTAAATGTGAGCTTTCTGATCTCTTGATTCATGTGGTCTTAAAGTCATTGTCTGTTGTAGTTTCACAATTCCTTTAAAAAGCTGCTTCTAAATCACTTGGTAGATTTTGACGAAACTTCACAACAGTCATCATGCAGTTTTTATAATATTATTGGTATGTGATGAATGAATTGTATTTAATGTTAATGCAAACCTTTAATTTGTGATGTAAGTCCTCATTTACAGTATTCCGATTTAAATATTACCCTCATATTTTATTGTTGTTTTATTTTCTGGTTTTCAGTTATGCATGGAGAAGAAAGCAGTACTATAGTAGAAGGGGAGGTCTCTGAAGATGGCAGAAGGTTTAAGGTAATAAGATTTGAATACTTAATCATGAATTAACTGTCGAACAAGTTACATCTAGTAGTACTGCAATTACATTTTAGAATAATCTTACTTGCATGTAATCAAGGCGTTTTATTTTCAAGTATTTTTGTTATGGTAAACATGTCTGCTTCTATGTCCATTATAGATAAGGGGTGTCCAAGTGGTTGAAACTGTTGACTTCAAACCACTAGCCCCTCATCACTGTGGGTTCAAACCCCACCAGAGACTTTGGATTCTAGCTTACAGAACATTGGTGGTACTACTCAAATGCCTGAGTTCATGTCTGAAATAATGCACAGATCTTCCTACACCAGTAAAGCTGGAAAGTCACCAATTTCCTTAACAGTGTTGGTGCTGCCAAAAATATTATAATGGTAATATATTGAACTAGAGGCATACGTCATGAATGTAGCTTAATAAATATGTTATTTGTGTGTAATGGAATTTTGAGGCCATATTGCTATGTAGAATTCTAATTATTAAACAAATGTCTTAACCAATCTGACTTTTTAAATGAAACGCAATATTATTATTAGTCCATTATATTGTAAGATATTAAAGAAGAATACCATTGACTTATGTTGTACATTATTTCAGTTCAAAGCAAACCATAACAAGAAAGGTCCATATGATTTTGGTCAGCTCAAGTCAGTACAGGACTTAAGTGGTGAACACACAGTAAGTTGTTTCTCACTTAATACATGTTGTTTCTCTTTTTTTATATTAGAAGATAGAAACAAAAATATTTTACAAACATGTTCTAAATATCTTATATGTAAACAATGTGTATGAAAACAATTTTTAAAGGATTTAGGCATGATATGTTTATGTATGAATTAACTCACAAATTTAGTCATTTATTTATAGATACATTTTGTATTTGAATTATGAAATAAAAACATCTAGTATTTTGTTAATATCTTTTACTGAATTGAGATTATTGAAATGTCTACTACATTTTTGTTTAACGTTCTCTGACCTGAGTGAACCTTAGTAGTCAGATCTCTGATTTCCAAAATTTCCCCAATACCATCATGGTTTGAATCATCACACAAGGTTCTTGGATTATTTTACACCAGAAAGCTATCCTGCTAGCCTATGTGAGATAAGATGGTGTTTCTACTAAGTTACCTACTTGCTCCTTAGGTGTTTCTACTAAGTTACCTACTTGCTCCTTAAATAATATATGGTGGGGCACAAGTTTAGCTGGAACGTCATTATATAATCCAACATATCATAGTTTATTATAAAATGACTAACTTGTGATTATTTCAGGGAGCTATATGGGTGATGAAGTTCTCACCATGTGGTAGATTGCTGGTAAGTTTTTCACAAGTTCAGTTACAAGGCTTGCCAGAAATAATATAGTTTTATTCAACAAGTTTAATAAATTTAGTATTGAATCTGCATGAATATAATTATATTTATCGTAAACCAAAATAAAGAACTGTTAAGAACGTTTTTGGTAGTTTTCATATAGACATATAGGCAAAATGAAAACTGTTCAATAGAATTTCTTTAAACTTGGCATGTTGTTAGAATATGATATTAGAAACATATTAAGCGGGGGAAAAAATTGAGGTCACCATTCTGGTTTTTTAGTTATAATGATGTAATGCTAACATTTTAGCGCGTCTTGATGCTATGTTTGTATCACGCAAATGATGTCATGTTTAAATGCACGGCCATGTAATTAATATCATTTTTATGTGATAAGATAGTATATCAACTTTTTATATTTTCAGGCTACAGGAGGTCAGGATAGCGTTCTCAGGATTTGGGTGTTAGATTCAGCGTTCAATTACTTCGATGATATGAGGCAGAAATACGTAGAAAGTACGAACCCTACTTTATTTCCTACTTTATTTTTTTGTTTTAGACAACCAAAAAGAACAGTACATTAAACCTATTAAAAATTACAAAAATACACAATATATGATGAAAAGCTTGTCTGTTATCATTATTAAGATAAATTTTAATTTCTTATGTGGCTGTTACTGATAGTAATTTTATTAACATTGCATTTACCATAACTGAAAAATATAAATATATTAACATTGAACTTTTATAAGAATATGAATAATTTTAACTGGATACATATACTGGTATTTAACAAGTCTCACCTACATGCAGTTCCATTATTTTGCTTCATTGCTTTACACTGAATTTGGGAATTTAAAAAAAATAAAAATAGCAAAGGTATTGAATCATTCAGTAGTAACATGGCATGAACTGCATTATATCCTCCTGGAAATAAGTTAAGCACACCTGCCACCACAACTGAAATTTAAATTTTATTTGGTCAATGGTACAAACCACCTGTAGTCAACATGCAACAACTGGAATAAGCTCTGCACCAAGAATGGCAAAATTTACCTCAAAATCGCATTAGACGCCTTACTGGTAGTATGAGGAGAAGGGTTGAGGCTATCATCCTGGCATGTGGTGGTTACACACGTTATTAAAAATTAACGTAATTGATGTAAACGCTCCAACATCATAATTATATGCACTTACAATTTTGGTGAAAAATAACACATTTGCTTATGCTTCAATAATTTGGTTAAGAATAAACTAAACTCATAAATTCTGGTTTATGATTACTTAATTGCTATCTCTACTTATCAAATTACTATTTCTAAGCTCAAGTAAATCGTCATCTCATGACAGTGCTTTAAATCACAACCAATTTAAAACTTCAGGGGTGTGCTTCACTTATTTCCAGGTGTATATGTGTAATCATATACCACGTGTAATCATATACCATGTGTAATCATATACCACGTGTAATCATATACCATGTGTAATCATATACCACGTGTAATCATATACCATGTATTATTTCAGTACAAGTGTCCCCGGCACCATCTCAGGAAAGCCTCAATTCAATACCATCAATGTCTTCAGACCAGTCTTCTATGGAGTTAGGGGTATGTAAAGTATTGAACATTTTTATGTTCTAATTTTCTTCTTGAGATATGAACAAATAATGTTGATTTGTCCATTTTGAAATTTTTCAGTGTTAAGAATGATATGCATATCTGAAAGTATATTTTTGATGAATTTTTTTGAAAAATGGATACAATTTTCATTGTATTTTGTAAGCTTTATTTATGCAGATAACACACATGATGTACAGTGAATGTATCATTTACTAATTAATGTTATGTTATGATGTAGAGTTTAGTTTAAGAAACTTACCGGGAAACCTATGGTAAGATTATCCATTACTTATTGTAATAAAGCCCCTGTAACTGAGTGGTTAGGGTTCCTGACTTCCGTTCCCTTGACCCTCACAGCTGAGGGTTTGAATTTTGCCTTTGCCTTGGACTCTGGGATTTTGTTTTTTATGATTTATAGAAGCTATACAACTAGTTTACAAAATGTCAGTGGTTTTACTCAGGTGCCCTGGTGTGCCTGAAACAATTCATTTAAGAGGCATTTGAGGTCTTCCTCTACCAATAAAGTATGAAAGTTTTCATATGAACTATAGAGTTGCAGTGTGATTTAAAACACAACCCCCCAGAAAAGTTTAGTTATGGTATCATGTGAGTTTTATTTTTGTTACTGATTGTTGTTATGATAACATATGTACATTGTAGGCAACTGCTGAGACTATAGAAGACAGAAAAGGTCCATTTAAAACAAAACCATTCTGTAAATATAGAGGACATTCTGCTGATCTTTTAGATGTGTCATGGTCTAAGGTAGGTCATATTTTACTCTTACGTACAAGAATAGGATATATTCTCTTGCAGTTTTTGTCTTGCTTTATATTTTAAGACTGTCCTTAGCTGATTTTGGTACAAAAGCTTTCAGTTTGATGTGTGTTTAGTTTTTTATTTTCTTTGTTTGTAGGCTATTTCAACCTTTATCAAATCAGGCAGCTTTCATAACTGATGTTCTTGTTAAGAGTTTTAATTAAAGTTTAGAGCTTTAATTTGTTTCTTTGCCTTTTGATCTATAGTAGATCACAGTAGAATAATATGTAAGAAACAAGAGCAGGATTGTAATTTGTTTATGACTGTTTGTTTCCCTATAATATCACATTATTTGTAAAGATATTACGGAATTTACATTTCAAGCAAATAAAGGGAGGTAATAAGAAATTTATTTTCGATAAAGCCTCAGCCAAATTTTTCAATAAGAAATGAATGCATATATTTTAATGATTACTTATACATTATAACACATATAAACATTTGCAGTACATATTTAACAGTTGTTTTAGAAGAATAATTTTATACATATATAACATTACACTTTAGTACCCTAATTACAACATAAGGATCTTTAAATATCACATCATTAAGATTTGATATGGTTCCCCACCCAGTCATGTTACACAGGCATTCTGCTGACCAATCCAGAAACTGTTGCCTTGTTTCAGTTTACCATAGAAGTGTATAAAATGTGATCATCATAATGTGCTTGTTTTATATTTCGAGTTATATATTTGATAATGATGAGACATTAAACTGACATTATATGTTATTTTGGTTTTTGAGATATATATGTGGATATTTTACCTGCCAAGATTTTTTATCACCCAAGTTTTAAAATAAATCATTGCTGTTTCAAATGAATAGTCGAAATAAGATTTCCTACAGGTTACCCCTTAAGTACAAAATGACGTTACCGAGGCGCAACATCAAACCGTATGCATACCAACACAGTGCATGTTGGGTACCCAAAGGGGAAATTTAATGTGTATATTACCTGTCTGACTCTGTTATATCAATTTCTCTCGGCGGATCAGTATCCAATCAAAAAGGGGGAAAAATTCTGAAAGGGTAATAAATATTTGTGTTTCCATATTTTCAGAATTATTTTATCCTGTCATCATCAATGGATAAGACCGTACGGCTGTGGCATTTATCTAGGAGAGAATGTCTCTGTACATTTCAACACGTTGATTTTGTCACATCTATAGTCTTTCATCCAAAGGTAAGTTCACTATTTATTCATTAGTCATTATTTATTGTTTATTTGTGTGTCTGTCTTTGTTGAACAGTGTCTATGCTGACTGTGCAAACTGATTTTGTTTATTTATAAACTTAGTAATATCTTAAAGCGTCTATTAACAAATAGATTTTCCTTATGAATTTGATATATATAATCCATATTGCTTTTGCTCTGTTCTAATAATTCTTGTTTTTGAGGTAACTAAATCAAATTTAATGTCAAGGTCATTTGGACTCAAACTGGATATCTTGTACATTAGATTGTCAGGTGCACTTATATTCCAAAAGTCATTTGTTTTAATAAAGAAACTGTATGTTACTTTGTACAGCATTGATATCTTGTAACGGTTGATGTAATTTTTTTTCAGGATGACCGTTATTTTTTGAGTGGTTCACTGGATGGTAAGTTACGGTTATGGAATATACCTGATAAGAAAGTGACCTTGTGGAATGAGGTGGGAAGTGGAAGTCTTATAACTACTGCCAACTTTTGTCATAATGGAAAATTTGCTGTGGTTGGAACTTATGATGGCAAATGCATATTTTATAGCACTGAGGTAAGAAATTTTTTTATAGAATTAGTTGAAAATCTGGTTACATCTATACATACATGTTCTTATAAATTCATAAAATGCTCAGAAAAATCTGTATTATCTGTATATGCATGATTTTTACCTGATAATAAAATCATGTTAATAGTTTAAGGTATATGGAACTTTTTGTCCAGTGAAATATCTTCAAGATAGTTAAGTCAAAACTAGTAATAAATCATTTTCATAGAAATGCCAATAATGTATTTTTCAAATGATGATTGTGAGGTTTTTTTTCATGCTTTGACATCTTTATGATATGGAATTAAATAGTTATAAGACAAAGAGTTATCTATATATACTACATTGTGTTTTTTTTTATTCAGCATTTGAAATACTACACTCAGATTCATGTACGCTCAACAAGGGGAAAGAACTCTAGAGGGAAAAAAATCACTGGCATTGAACCTTTACCTGGTGAAGATAAGGTAGAGTCTTAAGTTAAACTCTAGTGTTTATACAGAGATACAAAATTACTAGTCCTCTTGTAATAACGAGTAGAATTTAAGAGAATTTGATGCAGGACAAAAAGGAAATGTTGCTTGCACATTGGATTTAGAAGCTACTCTTCCTGCAAGACGAGTGACTCTGAAAATATTTTTGAATGCCTGTGTATAGTGAATATTATCCAGCTAGCTCACAGAAAAAAAATGGTATTTTTACTCTACTACGGTCTTGTGCCTGTCATAGTGCATAGAAGGGCTTGTTATGACATTCTCCACCAAGAAAGTTGGAAAGTCACCATATGACTGAAACACTGTTGGAGTTACTAAAACCCAATCAAAAATAAAAAAAAATAGCCAATAACTGATTATATTCAGTGAAGAAAATGGAAATATTTATTTATTTGATTTTTTTTGCATTCTTATATATAAACTTTGTTATAATTATTTCTTTCGTATTCTTTACATGGCTGCAAATTATTTCTAAAAATTAAAAAGCCATTGCATTATATTGATTGACTGACTTGTTTTAAAAGCCACATATTTAATTTTCATTCTTTTCATTATTTAAAAAATATTTTTAAAAAAATATGATAAGTTTCAAGTAAAGAGCAGAAATATCAATTTCCAAGTTAGCTTCTTAATTAATATACATAGGAAAGGTATAGTTTATCTTTGATAAAATTCTTGTAATACAATTTCAGGTTTTGGTGACCTCCAATGATTCGCGGGTTCGACTTTATGATCTCAGGGATCTTACCTTGACCTGTAAATATAAAGGTCCAACGAATACCAGTAGCCAAATAAGATCAGGTTTTAGGTAAAGAATATAGTGTGAAAAAGATTGTCCTTCAACATTTGTTGTAAATTATTTGTTTGTTTACCTTCATAAAAATTATCAGTTTTCATATTTAGAGGTTTAGACTTTGCTTTGCCTGATTAAATAATGGTTATGTTGGTAGTTTTTCACCCCAGATCACGGCAGTAAGCCACATTGAATTTACCAGAGCACAGTTCAGCTACTCCAACATTCCTGAGCAAGCAATTTACCTGTACTAGTTGCTTTCTCTTCTGCAACGAACTGATTACTTCTGTACATTTGAGAGCAGAAGTAAAGTGCAAATGACCGAAGAAAATATTACATGATCAATCACAAGGAAAGTAGACTGCACCTTCCGGGAATTGAACCCAGATCACCTGATTCACTGTCCAACTCTCTATCTGATTTAAATATAAGAGATTAGTTTATAAGTGTGATGCCATTTAATCACTTTGCCCATCACTGCAGTGGGTTTGAATGCGCACCCCCCACCCCCTCCAAGTATAAGTATACGAAAAGTTTCAATCATCCATTCACAACTTACAACTTTTTAATATTTTTTTTTGATTAACAATAATGATCAGTATCTGGGACAGAAATATGTCATTCATTATATTTGTTATCTTAACTTGTTAACTAAAGTTTTTGTTTTATTTACTGTAACAGTTGTAAGGGGAAATATATTGTATGTGGTTCAGAAGATCAGTTTGTTTACTTGTGGAGGACACAGCACGAGTTTGATAAATTCTCATCTGCCAGAAGAGATAGAAATGATTATTATGAGGCGTTTAAAGGTAAATTTATATTATATAGCAATTCTTTGTTCATTTAGTTATATTAGTGAGGCATTTTACATTACTAAGTACATGAAACATTACACAGAATTGCTACTACCCCAACCTCATCCATTTTGTTAAATTATTCACAAATTGCTTGTAATGGAACTTATTAAGGGGAGCAGTGACCTAGAGCTTAATGTGTCTGCCTCTCAACCTGGAGATCATGGGTTTGAGTCCTACTTGGGTCACGACCATGTTTCTTCATATGACACCAGGAGTGGTTAGTTCCAGGAAGCGGACTCAAAAGTGATTAATATAAGTTGAAAGAATGTGTTTTGCAATCAAGCTTAAATAAATATGTTTAAACTAATGGAGCTTATTTGTATATGGCTACCTCAGTTTTGCCTAACATCAGACCACCTGCCTGTAATGTGGAAGGTTTCGAGTTAACTTTTTGGCTAGGTCATACTATTGAAATGGTTATAGTAATTGTCTAGTGTGGCAGCCACTATTATTGTGGGATAGGCCAATTTGGTGGTAATAAGATTTGAATGGATGTCCTTTATGTACCTACATTAAGTATGTTTGTATGGAAAGGCAGCCTTCAAAGGTTTTTATGAAATATTTGGAAAATAAAGAGTTGCTTAGGGATAAAAAGTTATTGAATGTTACATGTTTTCATTATTTATGTATATTTCAGTTCACAATGCTGTAGTGACAGTGGCCATTTTTGCTCCAAACTCAAACCATTTTTTTGCCATAGAGGAATCAAACAATAAAGAAACGAAGGACATAAAGTCGCCGGAAGCTGAATTTATAGTCAGCGCTGATTTAATGGGCTGTATCAAAGTAGTACGAGTTAAATAAACTGATATTGCAAAACAAGTGGCATTAATATTTATGATTATAGCAGAAGTATCTAATTTCCAGAGTGATTTTTTTATTAGTATGATATTTTGCCATCTACACTTCATTGATGCAGGACTTCTGTTTTAACAGTGTTATGTTTTATTGAAGGCCAAACACATAAAAGTCAGTCCCATGAATTTTTCTAGAAAATTAGAATTTGGATCTTGATTTGAATGCAGTTATGATGTTAATGGAAATGTTTATATGGGAGTAACATCATGGAAATGTTTATATGACAGTTACATTGTTATATGAAATTATTATGCCCCCATTTTGAAAAAAAGGGGGTATATTGCTTTGCACTTGTCGGTCCGTCGGTCCGTAGACCAAATGGTTTCCGAGTGATAACTAAAGAACCCGTAGGCCTAGGAACTTCAAACTTGGTATGGTGATTGGTCATGACCAGTAGATGACCCCTATTGATTTTGGGGTCAAGGGGTCAAAGGTCAAGGTCACATTGACCTTGAAAGCAAAAACGGTTTCCGATCAATAACTAAAGAACCTTAAGGCCTAGGAACTTCAAACTTTTTATGGTGATTGGTCATGACCAGTAGATGACCCCTATTGATTTTGGGGTCAAGGGGTCAAAGGTCAAGGTCACATTGACCTTGAAAGCAAAAATGGTTTCCGATCAATAACTAAAGACCTTAAGGCCTAGGAACTTCAAACTTGGTATGGTGATTGGTCATGACCAGTAGATGACCCCTATTGATTTTGGAGTCAAGGGGTCAAAGGTCAAGGTCACATTGACCTTGAAAGCAAAAACAGTTTCCGATCAATAACTAAAAGAACCTTAAGGCCTAGGAACTTCAAACTTGGTAATGGTGATTAGTCATGACCAGTTGATGACCCCTATTGATTTTGGGTCAAGGGGTCAAAAGGTCAAGGTCACATTGACCTTAAAAGCAAAAAACAGTTTCCGATCAATAACTAAGAACCTTAAGGCCTAGGAACTTCAAAATTGGTATGGTGATTGGTCATAATCAGTAGATGACCCTATTGATTTTGGGGTCAAGGGGTCAAAGGTCAAGGTCACATTGACCTTGTAAGCAAAAACGGTTTCTGATCAATAACTAAAGAACCTTAAGGCCTAGGAACTTCAAACTTGGTATGGTGATTGCGTCATGATCAGTAGATGACCCCTATTTGATTTTGGGGTCAAGGGGTCAAAGGTCAAGGTCACATTGACCTTGTAGGTAAAAACAGTTTCCGATCAATAACCTAAAGAACCTTTTAAGGCTTATAGGAACATCAAACTTGGTATGGTGATTGGTCATGATCAGTAGATGACCCTATTGATTTTTGGTCAAGGGGTCAAAGGTCAAGGTCACATTTGACCTTGTAGGTAAAAAGGTTTCGATCAATAACTAAAGAACCTTAAGGCCTAGGAACTTCAAACTTGTATGGTGATTAGTCATGACCAGTTGATGACCCCTATTGATTTTGGGGTCAAGGGTCAAAGGTCAAGTCACATTGACCTTAAAAGCAAAAAAGGTTTCAGATCAATAACTAAAGAACCTTAAGGCCTAGGAACTTAAAACTTGGTATGGTGAATTGGTCATAATCAGGTAGATGACCCCTATTGATTTTTGGGGTCAAGGGGTCAAAGGTCAAGGTCACATTGACCTTGTAAGCCCAAAAACGGTTTTCTGATCAATAACTAAAGAACCTTAAGGCCTAGGAACTTCAAACTTTGGTATGGTGATTGGTCATGATCAGTAGATGACCCCTATTGATTTTTGGGGGTCAAGGGGTCAAAGGTCAAGGTCACATTGACCTTGTAGGTAAAAAAACGGTTTCCGATCAATACTAAAGAACCTTAAGGCTTAGGAACATCAAACTTGGTATGGTGATTGGTCATGATCAGTAGATGACCCCTATTGATTTTGGGGTCAAGGGGTCAAAAGGTCAAGGTCACATTGACCTTGTAGGTAAAAATTTGGTTTCCGATCAATAACTAAAGAACCTTAAGGCCCTAGGAACTTCAAACTTGGTATGGTGATTGGCCCCTGATTAGTAGATGACCCAATATAGATTTTGGGTCAAGGGGTCAAAGGTCAAGGTCACATTGACCTTTTAATTAAAAACGGTTTCTGATCAATAACAAAAAACCCTTAGGCCTAGGAACTTCAAAACTTGGTATGGTGATTGGTTATGACCAATCAGATGACCCCTATTGATTTGGCGTTAAGGGGTCAAAGGTCAAGGTCCACATTGACCTTGTAGGTAAAAAAAACGGTTTCCGATCAATAATGAAAGAACCCTTAGGCCTAGGACTTCAAACTTGAGATGGTGATTGGTCATGATCAGTAGATGACCCCCTATTGATTTTGGTGTCTAGGGGTCAAAAGATCAAGGTCACATTGACCTCTTAAGGTAAAAACGGTTTCCGATCAATAACTTAAGAACCCTTAGGCCTAGGAACTTCAACTTGGTATGGTGATTGGTCATGACCAGCAGATGACCCCCTATTGATTTTGGGGTTAAGGGGTTAAAGGACAAGGTACCACATTGACCTTGTAGGTAAAAATGCTTTCCGATCAATAACTTAAGAACCCTTATGCCTAGGAACTTCAAACTTGGAGTATGGTGATTTGGTCATGACCAGCAGATGACCTATTGATTTTGGGGTCAAGGGGTCAAAGGTCAGGTCACATTGACTTTGTAGGTAAAAACGGTTTCCGATCAATTAACTAAAAACGCTTAGGCCTAGGAACTTCAAACTTTGTGTGATGATTGGTCATGACCAGCAGATGACCCCTATTGGAGTTTTTAGGTGAAGGGGTCAAAGGTCAAGGTCACATTGACCTTTTAAGTAAAAAACTGTTTCTGATCAAATAACTCAGAAAGCTTAGGCCTAGGAACTTCAAACTTGTATGGTGATTTGTCATGACCAGCAGATTACTCCTATTGATTTTGGGATCAAGGGGTCAAAGGTCAAGGTCACAATGACCTTGTAAGTAAAAAACGGTTTTCTGATCAATAACTAAAGAACGCTTCGGCCTAGAAACTTCAAACTTGGCATGGTGATTGGTCATGACCAGCAGATGACCCCTATTGATTTTGGGTTCAAAGGTCAAGGTCACATTGACCTTGTATGTTAAAACGGTTTCCGATCAATAATAAGAGAACCCTTAGGCCTAAGAACTTCAAACTTGGCACATGGTGATTGATCATGACCAGCAGATGACCCCTATTGATTTTGGGGTCAAGGGGTCAAAGGTCAAGGTCACATTGACCTTTGTAGGTAAAAACGGTTTCTGATCAATTTACAAAAAAACGCCTAGGCCTAGGAACTTCAAACTTTGTATGATGATTGGTCGTGACCAGCAGATGACCCTATTGAGTTTTGGGTCAAGGGGTCAAAAGGTCAAGGTCATGACCAGTAGATACTTTATAACCCTTATTAATTGTTTGATCACTGGGTCAGAAGTCATGCATAATAACCTTATCACATGACTAATTGGCTGCTGATAGGGGGCATACATGTTTTACAAACATATCTTGTTGAATATGATTAGAATATAGCATCCTTAATAGAAAATGGAATTGTGGCATTATTTTTATACACTGCGCTAAACTCAAAATATAATATTTGTTAGTATTTCCATGTTAATTTCTGGACTTGATTGATTTAGTCTTTTTACCATGCCAAATATCTTGAATGGGATTGTACACTGTACAATATGGACATAACCATTCGTTTTTAATAGGGGAAAAATTCAAAATAAATGCTGACTGTACTGCTGACAAGGGTGAATTGAACTGTCACCTGGGGGACATAAGTTATTGTTGGATACCCATGGTTAATTAACATGTAATTAAGATAAATGTAAATGGATTGGCCATGGGTATTAGGCAATTTATAAAAGAAAGAAGAAAAAGAAGACAATATCATACACTTTTAAAACAAATGCTTTGTATTTATGTGATCAAGATAAGAGAATCATCACCATGGGTTTTTTTCATTTTTTTTTTCATTGAATATTGATTATATCCTCAAACAAACAAAACCAAACTTTTACATTTAAAAAAAAACAACAATTGATTTTGGCTGTTGAAGTATGCCATAGAAATGAAAACTGATTGACAAATAATTTAATATATTATTCAAATATAATTTAATTGCTTAGTTTTTTGTGGTTTTTTTTTACATTTTAAAAAAAAATATCTATCTAAATAAGATATTGTGATCAGTGTTTTAACAAATATTACAACTGGAATTATCCCTTTTTTAATCATTATATTTAATAATTGATTGATAATTGATTGCTTCATTGAATCGCATTCCTTGCCAAAGTCTATTTGATTGACAACTTATACAATGTTTCATTATTTATTGATTGTTAAACTCTAATGCACATATGGCTAATTTTGTAACCTTATTTTATTTTTTAGAATATTGAGTCAGTATGATTGTCAAAAAAATGATATATGAATTTTTTTCCCATCAGTTTCAAATTACACAGGTCCTCTTGTATGTCTGTGTGTTTTAAATGTTAATTGAAGGTGTAAAAGATATTTTCTTGCCATTTCTAGCACGTGTAATTTATGAAAGAAACATTGTTTATGAATAACATCTTTTTCTTTTATTTTTGATTTTTAAAAACTATTGAAGTACCTGCATTATGCTATGCTGTTGTTGTTTTTTTCTTCAATTTTTAGAAATTATTTTAATATTCAATGAACCATTTACGATTTAGCTTCTTATTTTAGCAATTGCTTTGAATTTTACACTTAACACTGAAAAATCTGTATAATGGGCTTAACTATGTGGTTGGTTAATCATTAAAACCATTTCTATATCATAGAGTTCCATTTCTATATATACATATACATTGTGCTGATTTCCATTTTGTGTTCATGTTATTAGTTCATGAAGTTTCAAAGTAAATTTTTGTTTATATTTTTAAAAGTTTATTGGCATCTATTATAATTAATACTAATCATGTAACTCGTAAATTTTATGATCATATACCTATATTACCTTCCATTTTTAAACTGTTTTTTTAAATTTCAATAATGTTTTGTAGGTTAGAATCCTTGAAACTTACTGTGCTAAATTTATGTAACAAATTTGTCTTTCTTTGACCTATGAACTGTCCATTGTTAATTGAATAAAAATGATCAAATGGAGCAGCCTTTAAGATGGATTATGATGTACCCTCTTACTGTTACAGTACCATGTACATGGTATACCCCTCTCACTGTGTCATGTATATGGTAAACCCCTCTCACAGTGTCATGTATATGGTAAACCCCACTCTCAGTGCCATGTATATGTTGTACCCCTCTCACAGTGTCATGTATATGGTATACCCCACTCACAGTATACCCCTCTCACAGTATACCCCTCTCACAGTATACCCCTCTTACAGTATCATGTTTCTGGTAAACCCCTCTTACAGTACCATGTTTCTGGTATACCCCTCTCACAGATCTATGTTTCTGGTATACCCTCCCACAGTACCATGTTTCTGGTAAACCCCTCTCACAGTATGTTTCTGGTATACCCCTCTCACAGAACCATGTATATGGTA